TAAGGGGGTTTTGGTGTTACTGGACCAGTTATAATTTCCAGCTTGGACAAAACCTCTCCCCCTAGAATTGAACTGCTTGCCACCATAGCCTCGACCTCTCTGACCTCTTCCTCTTTGGGCCATAAACATGTGTGTATACGTAGATACTTGTGATTTATGTTCTTGTTCCTAAACCTGCAGATCTCGTTCATTGTTTAGTAAGCCTGAAGTGTATTGATTGAAGGTAGGATATGGTGCTTTTGAGAGAACAGCAAGGTTGTAAGGCTGATAACGAGTTCCCACAACTCTGGAGAGTTGAAAGACTTTATCAAGGTTAGCAACAGGTTTGCAAATAGCAGCTAGATTATCACATGTCCTTTTAAACTTTATGATGAAATCATCAAGTGATTCACCATCTCCTCGCTTGGTAGCCAGTTGTCCCTTGAGATGCAATTCACTTTCTTTTGAAGACGCCAGATAATGCTCTTCAAGGCACCTCCAAATTTGTAGAGCTGAGTCATAGCCAACGACCAAACTAAGTGATTCTTCGTTCATGGTTCCAAGAATCCAACTGTAAGCAATCCATCGTTACTTAACCAGACATCATATTCTGGATTACCCATTTCATTACCGTCCTTGATGATAGTCTGCACTGGTGCTGCTTCTTCCAAATGATGGAGAAGCTGAGCACTTCGAATCAGTGGGTAAACTTGAGATTTCCACAGCAAGAAATTGGTACTTGATAATTTGACAGATACCAAACTTGCCATTTGATGGAAATTTTGGATAGTGAGAGTGCTTTTGTTCTTGGCCATGAAAAACTGTTGGATAATCAAAAAAATATTGAGAAAGCAAGGTTCAAATAGGATATTCAGATGCAGTGAGCAACCTGCTCTGATACCATGAAGAGTTTAATGGAATAAAGATTTTGGGAGAATACTGATTCTATATTCAGTTGTATGATATTCTGTACAAGCATATACCAATATATACACTTATAGGAGTTAATCTAGATGCTGTAATTGAGGTACAGATAAGGAAACTATACATTTCTTTACTAATATAATTTGATCGTTGCTTTCAGAGATGTTGCTTCTGTCTCTCCTCAATTTCTGCTGTGTGAATGATTTCTCGCTTATTTTCATTATCTTTGGTCTCACTCCTTGATTGATTTTGTACTTGTGCCTTCATACTCCCCCTCAAGCTAGAGTGGGGTGAAGCTACCACTCCAAGCTTGAAACGTAAAAGCTGATATTGTTGCCGAGGCAATGGCTTAGTAAGAATGTCTGCAACTTGTTCAGTACTGGGAATATATCGGGTGATAAGTGTTCCTAATGCCACTCTTTCTCGAACAAAATGATAATCTACTTCAATGTGCTTTGTTCGAGCATGAAACACAGGATTAATAGACATATGTAATGCACTTATGTTGTCCTAGAATAGTTGCGGAGATGAAGGTAGAGGAATGCCAATATCTCAAAGCAAATAAGTAATCCAAACCATTTCAGCTGTTGTAGAGGCTAAAGCACGATACTTTGCTTCTACAATAAAGCGTGCTATAGTAGGCTGCTTCTTTAAAGACCAAGAGATGCAATTTGCACCAAGAAATATGCAATACCCAGTAGTGCTTCTTCATGTAATAGGACAGCCCTCCCAATCTGCATCACAAAATCCTGTTAAGGACAAAGTACTAAAAGAAGAAAATCGGAGGCCATACTGCAGGGTCCCCTTCACGCAGCGTAAAATCCTTTTGACTTGTTGTAGGTGAGCAAGTGTAGGATTTTGCTTGAATTGACATACTCTATTTACAGCATGACATATACCAATTTTGGTTATAGTTAGATATTGTAGTGCCCCTACAATCCGTCTATATTCATGAGCATCAACGAGGTCACAATCTCTTGAGGTAGTGTTTTCCTTTGTTGCTAATGGAGTAGCTATGGATGATGCCTCCAACATTGAAGCTCGAGTAAGAATGTCATGAGCATACTTAGCTTGAGATAGAAATATGCCACCAGAAAACTTATCAACCTCGATACCAAGGAAATATTGAAGATCACCAAGATCCTTAAGAGCAAATTCCCTACTAAGATGAGAAATTATGTTCTGAAGTAGATCATCGGAGCTAGTCGTGAGCACAATGTCGTCCACATAGACAAGCAGAAAAGCTGTTCCTTTTGGATTATGAAGAACAAAGAATGAAGAATCAGCTTGATTGCAATGAAAACCCATTTTTAGTAGGTATAGTGTGAATGTGTCACACCAGGCCTTGGGAGCTTGCTTTAAACCATAGATAGAGCAATTGAGTTGACACACATAGTGAGGATATTTGGGATCTTCAAAACCTGGTGGTTGTGTCATATAAACCATTTCCTTGAGCTTGCCATGGAGGAAGGCATTCTTTACATCAAGTTGCCTTAATGGCCATTCTAGAGTTGTCGCAAAGGCAAGAACCAACCAGAGTGTTGTTGGTTTAAGAATAGGACTAAATGTTTCCTCAAAGTCCACTCCTGGCATTTGGGAAAAGCCTCTAGCTACTAGACGAGCTTTAAACCTTCCCACCGTACGATTTGGGTTAAGCTTGGTTTTGAAAACCCATCTAGACCCAACTATATTTGTCTCTGATGGTGGTGGCACTAATGTCCAGGTGTTATTTTTATGCAAAGCATCAATTTCTTCTTGCATTGCTTTGACCTAATGTGTGCTTTGAAGTGCCTTTCGAACTGTTTTAGGTTCCATAATATCAGGACCTGCAAATTGCAAAATGGACTTGTCAGTTACCATGGTATTTGCATTCTTTGGAAATATGGTTTTAACATGTCCAGTATGAGCTCCTTGATGAGCCTAAATTTCATACAATTATACATGGCTTTTTAGTCATGAATTGTAGTCTTTTATATTTTATTAGAATGATTTTATTTGGTTTTACATTGTTTTTATCATTCTTTGTAGGTAGAGGGTAAAACTAAAGAAATCTAGAATAAATGGGCTGAAGTGACAAAAGCTGAAAACATCAAGTCTGTTCCATGATTTTCCCATTTAAAGACCAGAATTGAAATTTCCTTCTGCATACACGTGGCAAAACAAGATGGGTTTTATCTCCACAAAGAGATAAAGATGGGCTTTAAAAGAGAAAGGGCACACGGAGTTTTAGGAGGAGAGCACATTATTGAATATAAAGAGGAGGCAGCCGCTGGAGACTTCGGTGTGGAGAGGTGACGGCAGAAATCAAAGAGACTTCCGAGAGAAATCAAGGAGGCAGCCGGCAGAGAGCTTTGAGGCGAGTTTGAGGCAGATTCTGTGTGGGTAACGGCAGACGCAAGGGCAGCCGCTGGACACTTCAATCCAAAACAAAGGGACAAGCGCAGCACTTCAGGCCACTGATCGGAGTTCTACAAATTGGGTTTTTGCTCTTCTAGACTTATTTTTCCTTTGTTTGGATATGGAATTTTGGTTCATCAATTTAATCTCAGATTTTATCATGTTTAGTATGAACTAATTTTGCCATCTAAGGCTACGATGTAGCCTGATCAATTTAATATAGAATTTCATGATTTTTGTATTTTCAAGGGTTATTATTTCATGTTGAATATATATTATTGTTCTTAATGCTTTTTGATGATTGGCCACCATTAAAACTGATTTTAAGAGCATAATTGAGACCGAGAGGAGATTTTATGCAATAGCTTTTAGTAATATATACCATGAATTGAA